GCCACTGTATGAGTGGTACGGTGTGTGTAGGGTGAGCAGGGTTTGAACGTTGACCTCTGTCAGTGGCTTAAGGTAGTTACCACCGTGCATGCCATTGTGACGGGCCTTTGTGCATGGCAGTTACCAGTTATAAAATGCACACACCGCTTCTATTCATTCGTCCCTTGTCCTTTCTTGCTGTCACTTTTATGTTTAAGAGGCATGACGGCTCGCTGAACTTGCAGATGTGCTCAGTTTGTCTGTCCTAACAGATTTTGCACCTAAACTAGCCATTGTATCGGAACTTCTTGTGACATGATTAAATAGAGACTTGACATTAGGCAACATCAACATACATGTTATCTAGCAACAGTACATACCTGTAAAGCAAAATATCAAAGAAGATAAGAAATTACTCATTTAATTAAATAATTTTATATACTGTAAAACTTCATTTAGTAGCCCAGGCTATTAGTTGCTTAAATCACTGAAATCAACAGGCCTATATTTGGGACAGACACCTATATGGAATAGGCCTTTAATTCTTTCCACACAAAAAACTGTTGCTCAGCAGAGATCAGGAATTACAATCAAATTGTTAATTTGAACCAGTACGACTGCTTGTATAAAAATAAGGCTTCAAATAATAATCATTCTATCTTGTTGATACTCATGGCTTGAAATAATTTCTATTAAAAAAAAACATCTTTTGATTCTTTTGATCTGAGGACCCTTATGGACTAAAGGGATATGAATAACTTACAGGGTACTCGAGGAATGGACACATAATTTGAGGGAGCCAACAACCCAGTTTCATACATCCAAGGAACTTTAATAAAAAAAATAAAAAAAATTAACTGCTTGGCAACTGGACCAGGCCTCTACTTGAGACAGGCCTTTATTTGTCAAAATGTGTAGCCACACTGGGCTAGTAAAGGGAACTAAGCCTTTAATCTAGGTTTTACAGTATATAATATATATATGTATTTCTATTTCATGTAGAATAAGCATATACATTTGTAACAGACTAATACTGACTTTTTTCTTTACCAAAAAAATAATAGTAAAGAAAAGAAAAGAAAAAATCATGACGGACATGACGGTTTTGCATTTTGGAGGGAAATAGTCTATAGCAAATGGCACCATTTTTAATTTCATGTGAGTTCTTCTTGGACCACAGGTGTAGTCCTGAGGTGGGAATCTGAATCACCTGAAGGACCCACCCCACCTGCACTGCCTGCACTGTCTATATTTATGCCCCTGCCTCTGTTCCTTTTGCATTTATAACCGGATGCATCACCATAACTGCAATGAAATTGATGTTTTTGAGACTACAAGGAAAAGCAAAAGGGTTTTTAGAGACAGATCAAGGACGTAAAGAAGGTTATGGCAGGCTTTTCAACCCGACTTCAAGTGCTTCCATATGAGACAGGTGTCATGCTGAGTTCTTCACACAGTAAACATGTAAAGTTAATCCTGAGGGTGATGCTGGATGAACGGTCCAGGGGTCAGTTAAAATCAAAGGTACATGAACCTGCTCAGGACATTTCATATAAGAGAGGCCTTTAGATGTTAATATTTGTTGTGCACATGTGAATATATTCACCAATTGGGACAAAAAAAATCCGCAGGATGAAATTGGACTGGAACAGCACAGCTCTGCACCACCACTAAATATAGAAGAACACGGCTGAACACCTACCAACTCCTCCACACAGTCATTTTTAACATTTATCCAGCAGGAACAGGTTGTTCCAACGCAGGCCTGTTAAGATGTGTGACATGGAGACTGAGGAAAGCATGAGCGATTCTTCCTCGCCCACAATAAATGGGGAAACTGGATGACTTCCAACTTTTCTTCTATCCGACCACCCACTTAGACTGACATAAAAAGAACATGCATGGCACAGTTTTTGTCAACCACTAGAGGCAGGAGATCAACATTTTGATCCCAGAATCCAGGAATTTACTCTGTTGCTGACCTTTTACTCCTTTATACTTTGATACTGTTTACAAGTTTAATCAGCACTGCCTGCCAGACAGATAAAGAGCCTTTATCGTTGTGTTAAGGTTTGAAGTCACAACTTGCTGTGCAAATTTTTTCCACAAAGAGGGGACCCTTACTGTACAGCAGCACTGTGGGTCTTCCACCAGCACCCTTCATACAGACATGGGCGTCAGTACTACACATTGTGAGCTCCTCAAGCCCTGTACTGCATTCAAGTTTCATTTAGCTTTGACAGCTGAGGGATAAGTGTCAAAACGAAATGACACTGGGCTTCCACCTCCATGTGTTGCACTCCTGCAGTTATTCCTCACACAGAGTGGAAGCTCAGTGTGGGGCCAATCGCCACCTTAGAATTGTAAAGGTACTTTCTGTGTTAGTTTTCAGATATTGAGCTTCAGGTTTTTTTTTGCATTCTCAATGTCAAAAAAGACACATGGAACAAGTCTGTTTCATACATGAAAATGACTCCCTGAAGATATTCTACATGTACAATATCAAAACCCTGTCAGTTTTGTAAATGGTGGTTTTAGGGACAGGTCAAACGTAGATAGAACCATCTCATCCTAGTAACTCTTTCTGCTTGGAACTATGAAGCACTATCTTGCAAAACATGAAAAGAAGTGATGATTTTTCTGATTTTCAAGGAATACAAACAGTATACTTACAATTTGTTTTATAAAACATAAAATTAGTGTTGTAACAGAGTGTCTAAATGTATTAAAAAGTTAATGATTTCTATTATGTTTTTAAGACATTTATTTCTTTTTGTGGTACATTGCAGCTTAAGTGAAGGTCATTAGCCTAATAAATATTGTGTTCAGTGCAGAGGTCAGTTTTAGATAGGAATATGGTTGGTTATTAAACACATTATTCCAGGAACAATAAGATGTAAGTTATGCGAGCAGCTACTGTAACACATCTAACCAGGACTGTGCTGCACAGAAAGTGGGACAGGTAAAGTATAAAGATATTCTAGATATTCTCTGTAATAGGGATGTCAAGTTTAATTAATTGTGTTAATCTTAAAAGAAATAAAAAGAAAAAAAAAAAAAGAAAATACCAGAGGTCTTTCCTTTTGATCTGGTGCTCTGTTGAGTCAGTGAGCTATTCACAGGTGGACAGAGATGGAGAAGGTTTTGTTAAGTACTGTAAATGTATTGCATTTTATTTTATTTTCTCTTGGCTTTGCAGACAGATGGATGGCTGCGTTAACATGTGGAAACATCTCCTTATGGTGTGCTGGTGTTGGACAGTGGGTCGGTGCTGCTGCTCGCTGTATGTGCTTATGCCCCGCCCACACATACATTCTCATTGACTAACTAATTGGTGCTGCTTACTCATATCATTGTGGCGTATTCTTGTTTTGTTTATGTGTTTCCCCGTTTCATCACTTCTACAAATGCAGCTGCGGCCAGTATCTCACTATCACTATCCTATTTTAAGAAGCTACAAATTATATTCAGACATAAAATAAGCCTGAAAAGCTGCAAATCTGAACAGAAGTACAGAGAGTTGTTGCATAGAGATGATACACTGTCTCATCTAGTTGCATTGGTGTGAACCGGCACGTTTTTAGAACATCGCAGATCCACACATTGCAAGTAGTTGCCTGTTTCAACTTGTCTCACTGTGAAACTTTAGTCTGAACTGGGCTCTGAGATATAACAAAGAAGTGGAACATGATTAGTCCTCTCGTTTGCTTCCGCACTGCTGACTGGCTCACAGATAGAACCTTATAAAACAAAGTTAGAGTTTGATTTGGGAGATAGAACCTTTTTGTTTTCTAAAGGAGAAGTCCAAAAATGTGCATCACTTAAAAAAACCCTCACATAATGATGATAAATTGTCACACAATAAGAATATATGAATAATTCAATTTGACAAAAATGTCAGAACCTTATAATTCCAAGGTAATGAAATGTGTCAGTAAATTGGTTATTTTAACATCTATATTTAACCAGATTTACATGCACAAAACATTCCCCTATTATTCTGAATATCACACTATTCTAGATTATGTTAGGGCATGTTAATCAGAGTATGGACAGCTGCATGAAAATGGGAGTATATTGGAATATTTACATTTGTTAGCCATATAAAGTTATTAGAACTTAGTAGGAGCATTGTCTTTTTTGGAATATGGGCAAAAATCTGAACTTTTTTTTGCATGTAAATGTAGTAAATGACAGAACTGGAGAAGCAGAAGAAAAAGAGCTGGAGCAGCGAGCTTTGACTTGGGAACAATAGCTGTGACACCATGGCACTATCACTGGGTTTCTTCAGCTTGAGTTCTTTGTTTTGAGTTGTGTCATCCGCTTAAGTTGTGCATTTTAACAGTCAGTTCAATCAGTGTGGATGCTTTACACACATCTTCCCCCCCGGCAGCAAAGAGGATCTATACAATCAGCACAGTTTCAAGGCGGACACCCAAGATTAGTGTCAGTTCAGTATCTGACCAAATGTCTCCCTTTCTGTTCCTGAGTTATGACTTTGAATAACGGCCAGAAAAGTGTTACTGCAAAAATATCAATGTCACAGTGACCTTTGACCTTTTGGATATAAAATGTCATCACTTTAAATTTGATCAGTTTAGACATTTGTGTGAAACCTTCCCATGATTAGTGTATGAACTGTTAAGTTACTGCCAAAAACAAGTTTTGTGAGGAGACAGTGACCTTAACCTTTGACCACTAAATTCTAATCACTTCATTCTTGAGTCCATGTGGACATTTGTGCCAAATCTGAAGAAATTCCCTCATGGTGTTATTTAGATATTGCAATCACAAGAATGAGACAGATGAGGTCACAGTGACCTTGACCTTTGATCACTAAAATCTAATCACTTCATTGTTGAGTCCAATGTTTGTGCCAAATTCAAAGAAATTCCCTCAAGGCCTTCATGAGATATTGCGTTCATGATAATGAGACAGATAGATGGACAACCTGAGGCACAGAAAACAAAATGCAGAATAAAAATGTGTGCTCATTCACAAGTTACTTAATAACTCATCTGTACATACAGAATATTTATTGTATGTCCTCAAAATACACAATAAACCATAAGACAGAACACAGAGTAAGAAAAACCCTTGAAGGTCATTTGGAAAGGACCCGGCTGTTTACCATCCTGAACTTTAGTTATCAGACTGGCTAAAGTGTCCTCTGTTACAAATCAAATAAAGGCATTCTGCTTGGAAAATTAATGCTGAGCTCTGATTTAACAACTCAAACACCCACAAAATAAATAAAAGATCTTTTTTTTTTTTTTTCTTACACCCGTAACAGTACCTGTCAGCCAACATTCCCGTTGGCCGTCTTTTTTTGTCAAATTTACCCCAAATATTTCACACATTTCAGAGAAGCAGAACACAGGAGCTGTTTTTTTTTTACTTCTTACATCAGGAAGGGAGTTTGTTCTCCATTTCTTACAGGGCTTGGTCTCTTCTACAAATCCATTTCCAGTGATGGCAGAGAGATAATGATTTCATTTTAGTCATATTGTGTAGACAAACAGTAGTAGTATCCTAAACCAACTGGATCTATTAACAAAGCTTTTGGCAGGTTCCATCGGCCCTATAGCAGAGAATGAGCCAACACAACAAAGCTTTCTTTACATTGCAGCCAGTGAGCAGGTGGGCAGGACCTGCTGCAGCACATTATTCCTGGATTTGGTGAAAAAAAAAAAAAAAAAAAGTATTTTCGATTGTATCATGAGAACTTTCACCTTATTGATTTGTGCTCAGCTCACTCCAGCAGCCACTCAAGTCTTACTTCATACAGTGTTCAAATATGGGAATAAAAAACTGCCAGATGATGTTGCACATGGATAAAATGATGTGGTGGCGTGAAAACCAATCTTTAATTTAAAGTAAATATAATGCATACATTTTATGCATGTGGGTTTGCAAGTCATGTTAAAATAAACACATATTAACATTAGCTTTCTGTAAAAGGACAAAACCAAAATGTGGGGATTTAAAGCCACTATGGGTACAATTTTTTTTTAACATGACGCTCACTGTACAAGTTTTTGTTTGTACAAGTAGCATTTCCAGTAAAATTGTTGCAGATGGTCCGATCTATGATGCAGGAGATAATGACTTTTTTTTTGTTTTTACCACTGAGTGTTATTTTTTCATACAACCACTGGGGGGCGCCAACACAGAATATTTTTAAATTATACACATATGGCAATAACCCTAATTACCAAAGACTTGAAAGCTGATTTTTTTTAAATTTTTTTTTTAAATTAAAAATCAGATGTCGTCTCGCAAAGCTGGAATGATGCCCGCACACTACAAGCCTCAGAACAATTCATGCCTGTTGGATTTTCTGACAGTCTAAAACACCCTCGAAATCTTTCTGAAACAATCCAATTTGGCAATCACAGCCACTGCATGCAGGGCCTGGTGTGCTGAGGTGTGAAAGTGCAACACCTTGAACACCTTTGAGGAGAGATGTTTGAAAACGTGCGTTATCCCAGCCCAGTTGCCGGAAGAAAATGTTGCTAGTGCACGTCTCTGCGAACCACGAATACATTACATTTGTAGGTTTCATACGCATCATATTAACATTTCTACAATGACGCAAGCCAATTGTCATCTGCAGGTGGAGAGGATGGTGGATGGTATGGCAACCAGGGGAAATGAATGTCAAGCTGCAGACCAATGTTTGAGACCAGCAAACTAAACTGCCTGTTTTTCAGCGAGTCATCATGTTTTTTAGAAACCAAACGTGGGCGTTTTTTAGGAGCCACTGTGTTTCCACTGAGGATAGTAGCATGAAAAGCGGCTGTATTTTACTGAGACATCGCTGCTTTTCCAGATGGGACGGTGCCACGGAAAGTGGTTGTTTTTTGCCAAGACATCGCTGTGTTTCCTGCCAGGATAATGCCACAAAGAGTGGCTGTTTTTTTAGCGAGACATCGCTGCTTTTGCTGTTGTGATAGGGCCACGAAAAGTCGATTTAAATGAGATGTTGCTTTTCTTTTCAGGATAGCGGCACAAACAGTGGCTGATTTTACTGAGACATTGTGGCTTTTCCTGTTGGGAAGTTCCACAAAAAATGGTGGATTTTGCCAGATACTACTCCTTTTCCTGTCAGGATAGTGCCATGAAAAGCGGTAGTTTTTTTTAACCGAGAATTTCCTGCCTTTCCTGCTGGAACAGTGCCACAAAGTGTGTATTTTAAGACAAAACATGATCTTTTCCCAACACTAACCAAGTGGTTTTGTGCCTAAACCTAATCACACATAAACTACAGCGTTTAAATGTAAAAAGGTAACCCTGGTTTGCAAAAACTTACAATGCCAACATTTATGTTGGTGACTGGGTTGGTTATCCCCAAACCAAGCAAATTTAGATTCCAATTACATCATTTTGTCACAAAGTTCTTAAAATTAATTGTGGTTTGTAGAAAGTGTGCAGTCATTTTCCAACAGCATGGAACTTACATGTTAACATGCAAATACAGCCGGCGGATACAGCCTTCTCCTTTGGGGATCTGCTTGCATCTGGGATATTTTTTTAGAGTACTAAAATTTGTTTCTGTGTAACTAGATATAAGTTTCACCACAACCACAATTTTTGGATTGGATGGGCTTTGTTGTGACCCAGTTGTAGCCCCATTTTATTGTGTTTCTGTGAGACTGCTTTTTTATGGATCAGAATATAAATTTATCACCTTCACACCTCCTGTGGCAGTTTTTTCTTCCCATTGAAATTATTATGACATTCGATTTCAATTCAAGTCAGTGACAAATCGAGAGTCCTCAGTAATGCTCACACAGATTCAAAGATATGCCTGTTGTGAAGTGCTTCAACAAAGTCTCATTCTGCGCTGTTTTTCTTTTTGCCATTTTCAAATACACACACACACACACACACACACACACACACACACACGCGCACACACGCACACACACGCCTGCAAATTAAATTCAATAAATAAGACTTACAATGTTGTAAGGCAATGCTGACCATGCATTTGTCACAATGAACAACAAATCAAGGAACATACATGGTAACAATATGCACATTCATTAAGAGCAACAAGGTCGCCACTCCCCACTTTGTTTTGTTTTTTTTTGTTTTTTATAAATCAAGTGAAGTTTTCAAGGCTTTCTGGGTGATCTCCTGATCGACAGGGCTCATCCCCACAATACCTGGCTCTGGTTTGTGCAGCGGGACCACCTCTTCATTCAGAGAGCCCAGTCCAACCAGCAGGCTGGACGCACAGCAACTGGACCCAGCCACAGTGGGGCTTTTGCATTGCATCCAAAGTTGGAGTTTATTCAAGAAAAATCAAAAGTCTATGTGGAGACAGAGATCCAGCAGCCAGCTGCTCAGAGACTCAGGACAGTCCGGAGGTTTCCAGGTAACTCTGGAGTTTTCTTACTGTACTTCTGTCCAAAGAGCAAAGGTCGAAGTCAAAAGTAGTGTTTGTGATGTGGAAGTGTCCAGTCTCTTCGATGAGGTTCACAATCTGGAAAACAGAGAGGAAAATAGGTACCATTGCCTGCTCCCATCTGTAATCAGGGCTCTGTGCAAGTCAAATATCTGCCCAAACTAATGTTTTGACTGGATACAGGTGATGGTTCATTAAATATGAAACCAAAGAGAGAAACTAAAATAACATCAGTACACAGTGAGCCTTTTCCACTGGCAGAAGTAACGACTCATTTCATCACAATAATCTCAAACAGGGAATCAGAGCAGCTTTGTGAGGACAGTAGGAAGAGGGGAAAACACACACTTGTGAATCTGGTCACATGTATGGTACATGTTTTACAGTTTGGGCAAAGATTAAATGTTATTAGGCCTGTTCCAATAACTGCTTGTATTTGAGGATTTAATGTTGCAGAAATAATTGTGATAAACAATATTGTTGTCATTTTGAGACCATTTTATGCCACTGATATAATAACAATATAATAACATAATAATGCAAGTGCACCATTTCAAAGAGCAATGAACTTTAAATTCTTGAGAATATTCAGAAATTGGAATTGGAATCTGTAAAAAAAAAAAATTAACTGTTATTTTAATGTACAAGACAGTATAAATAAAACCATAGTATCTTTGTGGGAGCAGCCAAAAATTACTTATTTTGAGAGTAAATACAAAATTTTGCAAAAAAAAACAAAAAAAACAAAAAACAAAAACAAAAAAAAACAAAAAAAAATTAAACAAAGTGATGCCTCTTGCTACTAACAGACAAGCTTAGATAAGTTCTAGGAAAACTGCAGTTACCTCCGTAATATGGCTGCTGTGCTGCAGTCGGCTCCCGGGGATGGATGGGCAGTTTGCTGGTGGATTTACGGAGTGGTGGATAAAATTTTTGGAGCGTAAAACTACAAATGACAGACTTTGCGGCTTGCTGCCAGGGGTTGGCAAGCTAATGACCATGAGGACTGTGCCTTTTCCACACCAAAAGTACAGCTGCAGGCTACCAGTAAGCTACACTGTGTCATCTTTGAAGTGCTGTTTTATTTTTCTTTGGAATCATACAAGTTGGCGGGGGTGGGTAGGAAAAAAAAAGGAGAATCGCTGCGGCCAAGTCTTATAATGGTCAGGAAAACCCTGCTGTTTGTTTTGGCATCATGTTGGTTAAAATGTTGGTGAATTTCTTCTGTAAACAAACATGCATGTAAACACAACGGGCAATATCGAGGTCAGCAAAATGGTCGAGGTCATGCCCATATATGGTGTGTTAAGTCAATAACAGAGCTGTCAACGGTTTACCGTCTGACTGGTTACGCATGTCAGTCTGTAGGTTAATTTTGCTGCTCTTCACTTTACTGCACTGCTGCACCAACCAGATCTGGTGGGAGACAGACAGCCGGCAAGCTGTGCCAACATGTGGAAACATAGTGCCCACTGCCTACCCTCTGGTCTCCATTGTTTAGATATCCTTTGCTGTTCTGCACTGCACACCAGCCAGGTCGGGTGGGACTTAGCTAGTGGGTGCCGCTCATTCGACGATTACCTCTAGCAATGCTGTCCTGGCCCAACAGCGCTGTTGTGGAACTGGGACAGCAACCTAGGGGGAAACTGGAGTATGGGCAGCATGTTTTCGCAGCAACGTCATCCCACCACTGGGACAGCACTGCAGAGCAGTCAAGGCTAACATTAGCTAACCAGTGGAGACCAGAGGCTGGGCAGTGGGCTCAGTGTTTCCACGTTAGTCCTGCTAGCCGCCTGCCTGTTAGCAAAGCCAACAGAAAATAAATTAAAAGGCAAAACATTTACATCACAAAACATTTGAATTTCAAATGGATAGCGCTTTGAAACACAGTGCTAAAACTTACTGAGTCAGTGAAGCACCAGACTAAAAAAAGAGGCCTCTTGTATTTCGCCTCAATTTACTGGGTAGTTACTAATTAACGCGTGTTGGGATATCAAAAGCAAATTACAACAAAACTGACATCCCTTGTCCATAACCTAATCATCGTAACAGGCCTTGCAGTGTATTGATGCTAACAGGCTACATTAAAATCAGTATTAAATTGCTACTACAAGACCAGCAATGAAAAACCAAGGCTGCTACAAGTATTTAACAAATCAGGCTTAAAGGCTGCTCCACAGTGTTATGACATTAAAATACATTAAAAAACTATTCAGCAAAGCCTTGGACTGGTAATAATCAGTCACTGTGTAAGCCCAAGCTCAATAGCTTCTTGAACAAATACTTGTCTCTTCCCTGCAAACTCAACACGACCGTTTAACTTTATTTTTAAACTGAAGGCTACGTCAGAAACACGCCTGCATTCAGAGTTTTTGAAGCTACTGTATTTAAATACAAAATGTGCTGGTGTGAGTGAAGGGGAAGAGATGAATACTCTGTGTGCCACTAAGAAACAAACCCTGGCAATGCAACATTTAATCTGATTTCACACAGGCACACAGAGAGAGGATCCTGGGTGTCTGCGTTGCATATTGTTTCACAGACTTTAGTAAAAATCGGTATTCTCATTTTTCCCTCATGGGATAACTTTAACTGCCTTTAAAGGATACGTGGGGCAGGTATTATTGGTTTCAGATTTTGTAACCAGTATTGGAAATGAAGGTTGAGGTTGGGAGTCCTGGAGATTACAAGGAACACCATCCCATGTATCTTGGTGTAGGTACGGTTCTCAGAAATGTGGGAAAAATTACAGGCATTTTTATGACAGGGTAGATCTCAGACAGACACTTAGGCGTCACCTCTCTCGTTCCACTTTGGGTGGCATTTTGGCTCATCTGCTCATTTTGATTGCTGTTTAGGATTTATTTCAGCTGGAAAAAGCTACCAAACCCATGTCGTGCTCCTCTGTCTAAAGACATGCCATGTGCATTACAGTGTTCTCTGCCATACACTATGTGGTCCCCAGCAGTGTGCAGGAGAGCCTGTGAGTTAATCATTTCCATCTCTTGGAGCAGGAAGTGGAGCCAGTTGGTGAACTCGGCTAGATTAGCTTGATTACTGTGCGAGCTGTGCACGGGTGGTGCTGTTTTGGATGGGATTTCGTGTTTCCTCAGAGCCAGACGCCTTGTTAGGAGAGCGAGGCAGAACTTGGCAGCTGCTGCCGGGAAGATCCACCAACACGGTCATACGATAGGCCTCGAGAATATAAGTAAGAAACATGCAATCTCTTAGGTGGAGAGAGGTTAACCAAATAATTCATTGCTTCCAGATGAAGCGGCAGATTACAGAGGATCTGTAACAGATCACAGCTCTTCTTCTAATCCAAGGCAACAATATAGCTGACTAATAGAACTGGCATGTAGTGATATTATGCTGAGATCAGTGAAAACTGTGGGAAGCCACCCAGTGCAGTTTTTGATTTTCATCTGGAGCTTTGCAGTTGAGTGAAACTTTTTCATGGAACATAATAAAGCAGGAACGTAAGTGATAATATCAAAGTCCAAACCTCAACTACATTAAATGTTTCTTATTTCCGCTGCTATTTGATATTTAAGACCATCTAACACAGACCATACTTTACATTCACTGAAGGAAACATCCACCCCCAAAAAATGTAGTCCTTTTTGGTCTCTTCATTTTCTTCCTTCCAATCAATTATAATTGGTTACTGGCCAAACACAAACTAAAATGTGCTCAATGTGCAACTGTTAATAGAAAATCAGACCAAAATGCTACATTACTGTCATAGTTAAAAAGAGAAGTGCACTGATTTTACACATCAAATTGTGTTTTCAGGTGTTGGGAAGAGCTACTGCATATGTCAAAAAAAATATTACAAAGCCTTTAAGCTTTGTTTACGCTGGCACGAGACACCGTGGTGGAGGTCTCTATGGGTGACACACAGGCTACGAGCATGCACAAAGGTGTTTATGCTTGACATGTTGTTGGTTGCAACATGCCCTAAAACGCGAGGCGTATGAATAAATTTTTTTTTTTTTTTGAAAAACAGTAAGAGATCAGTGAACCAAAAGAACGCTACTGGAAAAGTAGGCTGCCTAAGGGGCCGTACATATGTTGCATCTCTAACTGCCTGGAAAATGGTCGGGCAATGGGTGCTACTCTAGTGTCAACTTACAAGGGTGTGGAGGCAGGTAGCGACTGAGGTTGCTAAGCGACTATAATCAGCACTGTACCATAGCCCACATACCAGAAATCCTGAGTGCAGAGCTGATCTTCTTCCAGGCGTTGTTTTGTAAGTGTTTATTAGGCCAAAACTATTGACAGATGTAAAGCTCCGGTAGCCCTGCACTAAAATGATCAACTCCATATTTACCACAGACTGATATTAATGGAAGATGGGACAGAAATCTTGCAGCTGTGATTGGTTGTTGCTCGTCACATGACATGCAGTGTGCGCTGCTGTGTCCCAAAAGTTGAACTATGTCGATCTCAGGGCGCACCTAATGTGCCCCGAAAAACAGGCTCGGGAACGCATGTGCGCAGCAACGGTATTACTCTGGAGTTTGAATGTGTCTGTCGTGCGTCTTCATCAAAAAATGAATTTGCAGGTGCAAAAAAACGCAGCATGTGCACGGCCTTGCATTAGCGTCTCCACAGGAAGCTGTGTGAAGTCTGATAAATGTCCTCATGTGATGTCACACGAGTCGGTGTTGGTTGGGTCTGAAAAGTTTAAAAAGTCAAAGAATCTGGAGGTGTGGAGTTAGAAAGAAGTGTTGTTACCCAACCTCTGTAGCTCCCCGTCTCTGCTGCAGGCTAAAGGCTCCAGGCTACATTAGCTGCTACTAACAGACCTGTATCTCCAGCTAAACTGTTGACATTTATCAGGGTTTCTACACATTTTCATTGACAGAATTTCAAACTTTTCCATGATTTTCCAAGAACCCATTATAACAACTTTTTCTTTAATGCAGTGTTATTGTAGTATGCAATGGTAAACAAAATGTCACACATCAACGTATATAAGAGGTATGTTTCGTTGACAGCTAGAGAAAATAAATTTGCCTTAATGTTACAACAATGCCCAACAATGTTACAGTGAATAAATACATGCTGGATATTGGTAGCTGAATTAACGAGGCAGGTTAAAGGCGCTGTATGTAAGAATGTGGCCAAAACGGTTACTGCACTCAAATTCAAAATACTGCCGCGAGTCGTGTCTGCCTCCCCTCCCCTACAGATTCGAGGCTGCTGGACAGCGGCACGCTGGAGACTGATTTGTTTGCCCATGGGCGGCTGCCGTGGCAGGGCTGCGTCGCCGCGTCCTTGATCTTCGGTTTTCCAGCGGACCGTTCAAGCAAGTCCGGCTTCTCTGCTGCTAACGCTGCTGCCGGGATACAGCTGAGGAGACTGCTAATGCTATGTACCGGGACACTGTTAACACTGCTGCCGGGATACAGCTGAGGAGACTGCTAATGCTATGTACTGGGACACTGCTAACGCTGCTTGCCGTGCTGCTGTAGCTCAGTCGTAACTGTAACTGATGCTGAGACTCTACTGACTGCGTGACTGGTAGACGGCGGTGGGTGGCGCAACAGGCCAAAACACAAATTCAAAATATAAACATGATTTGCGGACCGTAAAAACTTTTTTTTAAATGCGAATATTCTGGCTGTACTACTGTTGTCGGTGAGATCAGTATGTTATATGAACATTAATCCTTAGTCTCTGTGACATATTAGGATGATTTTACAACTATTTGCTTTAGATTTCTTACATATAGCTCCTTTAAGTGAAAAAGCTGCACCACAAAGTAAATGACAGTAATCACCAAGTAACACCTTCAGTTCACACTGATGATACATCACAGTTCATCACCTCGTGTACATACACACCTGCTGCAGTATGTGACCCTCTCTTAGTGTCATCAGTCTTTTGTGCAGTTCCACCAGCTCATCCAGGTAAGCCTGGGAAACACACAGCAACATGTTGTTAGCTTTAAAGCTCTCATATTTTACTTTCACACAGAAACCTGCTGTAATAAACATACACTCAACCCACATTTCACCTGTTCATAGCAGCCTTGTTCCAGGCTGCAGCATGTCACACAAGACTTGTATCTGAAACTGCTGTGACACACACACCACACACAGAGCTGGGTGCGGTTGGAATTCTTCAATAAAAGTGCTGATATGTTACCCCCCTTTTCCATTTAACAAGGACACAACCATTCTTAAAAATGGGATGTTATCTAATCTCAAGCAACAGTGTGGCAACTCAGCCCAATGAATAGTCTAAACCTGGACACATTTTAATTTAAATTAAAACTATGTAATCAAAAAGCAAGTAAAAAAGATTCTGTATCTGGACCGCAGCTTTCAGTTTGATAATCACTGCCAGGGACACATTGTGATTGGTGCCCAGCTCTAAACATACATCAGTGCTAAACCACAGAATTAGTCTGAATCTTTTAAAACTGTATTTGTCAAACAGAGCTGTCAACTACTGCAAAGCTTACACTAGTTATTTAAAGCTGGGGTAGGCCGTTTCATTTTGGCATCAATGGCCAAAAATCCCATAATAAACTTTGAGCATATTATCATTCAAGTAGTCTGAGAGAAAAGACTTCTGCACCTCCTCTTGGCTCTGTTTTCAGGCTTTAGCCTGTGATGGCTGATTTTAGCCAATCGCAGCTCATTTCAGAGAGAGGGCATTTCCTATTGGCTGCTTTATAAATGCAGATTTGCATGCGTGTCCCTTTAGACAGTAAAAGCCTGACTCAATGGTGGAGAATTCTGCAGAGAAAGTTGCTATTCCAGCATTGGCAACAACTGCCTACACTGCAAAGCAACCCAAAAGAAGAGTCTAAAAGAGAGTCTGACGATGAACAAAGTGAAACACGTGTCAACACTAGCAAAGTGTTTCAGAGAGAGAAAATGTTGCTAATAGTTTAGCCTTCTGCAAACCGGAGCCTCTCCTTGAGGAGAGTGGGCAGCAGCTCCAGAGACAGACCCCCAGTCAGCAGCCACAGAAACCTGAATCCAGCCAACACAAACCCCAGCTCCAGGAGATCTTAAGGCCTGGACTCGCCTTTGAATCAGCGAACTTTCTGTTGCTGCCATTACCAGCTTAGACCTGGGATGCTGCTGGCTACCAGCCTGCTGTGACACCCAGTGCTGAGGGGTTTGCGCTGACTGAATTAATGCTGCTACAACCGCCGACCAAAGCTCTGTTTCCAGAGCTGCTGCCAGCTCTCCTCCTGGCGAAGCAGTCCGCAGCAGTGGAGGGACCGTGGGGTGACTAGCAGCTAATTCTTGTCTCATCTGTGGTCTGATAAACAGAGAGAGAGCAGGAGGAGTAAATTTGCTGTGTGCAGCCCATAAAGAAATAAGATTAAATAAATCAATTTATGGGAAGCACTGTATGAGGCACGTGCATGTGCCTGTGGCTGTCTGGTAGGAGGGGACAGAGAGGGGAGAGCTGCAGGAGGAGGGTGTACATTTGGATGTTTGTTTTTGTGCCTTTTCCAGATTTCGGCCTACCCCAGCTTTACCTATGCTGATACATTCTGATGCACTTTTATAGGAGTTCTTATGTATATTCAGTCACTGTTTAACCCCTTTTAAGTTACTGCCCCATTTTATTCCTCCAAAGCTCGTACTGTGTCTGTCTGAGAGCATCACATATATTGTATATGTTCTTTATCACCCATAGTGAATAATTCAAACCCAAGCCTTTGCTATCTTTGGAAACTTTAGAGAACTCCAGCTGAACACAGCATGAAAAGTTTCTGGGTTAAAGCTGAGCAGCATCAGAGCAATGTTATCCTCTGGTCAGGCTGGATGACATGTTAACCCACTGAATCTAACAGTAATCACACACCAACCCTGCATCACTCTGTCTGAACAGTGGAATATACTGTGGCACACCCCCATGTTACAGGTATGATTTCCTGATCTGTTGTACATGGGCTGATTTACACTGAAATACGAAGAAAAGCCTTGTGTACCTTGTCACAATCTATGTTTTTGTTCTTGTCCTGCTTGCTCTGCTTGGTGGGACTCTTCACTTCCAGTATCTGACAGAGGACAGAGTAAACACATGGAGTCAAAGTCCCTCTGGGTGACTTAGAGCTACATACATTAACACCTGGCTTCCCTTGAGGTACATTAGATTAAACTAACAAAATACATGATACATAATATAACATTAACTTACCTGGTTATTAGTAGTCTTTAGAAGGGGTGGGGCTTCATTGCGGGATGGGGGTGAGGGCGAGGAGCTGTCACTCTCACTGCCATCACTCAAACTGACCCTGGGTAGTTGATGACAGGAGAAAAGACAAAGAACAAATGTGTCAGCACATCAAAAGATGCATTTTACTTCTTCAGTGAGGCTGCTGTGGGTCCAAAAATTACCACCTTGGGGGGTTGGGGGGGGGCAGACCAGAGGCAGACCCCTAGTCAGCAGCCGCAGAAACCTCAATCCAGCCAACACAAACCCCAGCTCCAGGAGATCTGACAGCCCTGATTCGCCTCTGAATCAGCTAACTGTCTGTTGCTCCCATTACCAGCTTAGACCTGGGATGCTGCTGGCTACCAGCCTGCTTTGACACTCACTGAGGGGTCTGCATCAATGCAAAGTCAACTGACACAAAATCACTTGCGGGGAGCAGGGGACGACATCATGATAACTAAGCTTTAACAGCACACAACTAAGAACGTCATATTTCCTGTTTCTAGACTAGCATATTAACTACAATTTAAGGCCTTTAAACGCTGAGTCCCTTTTTGTTGGGATGTGTTTTTTTAATCTGTCATCCGAAAAAAAAAAGAAAGAAAAAAAAAAAGGTTGTACACAGAAACCTTGCACACTGAGTCTGATGTGTTTTACTGGTCTATTCATTCTGAAAATTTGCATTACGAGACAAAATGAAAAGACACATTTCTCCCTTTGCCTCTCTCCACTGGAGTTACCTATCTGGCTGTCATCACTCCCTCCCTGTCTTTCATTTGGCATTGCAGCTGCATGAAGGGGCGGAGCTGTCCTCCATTTTCTGTGTGTGGTCCACATCCTCCTCCTCTTCTTCATCATCCACCTGAATATTACTATCTGTTAAAAGTAGCTATCTGAGTTAGCTCTCTAAAGGGACGGATGCGAAAAATGCAGAAAATCAAACCAGTTCCGAAAAGTTTAATGACGGACGAAAGTTTCAGACTCTGTGTGCTTGACACAACGTGAGGTCATATTTATTTTTAGCTGGTGACAAATGTCTTTACTCCCTCTACTGTGATGAAATCTGCAGGATGATGGAGGCAATGGTGGGTGAACAGGTTGGTGGTATTGCACTCTTTTGCGTTACTGTCAATAACTTCATGCAGACTAGGGTGTCTGCCAGCACCCTGTCTTTTTTTTTTTTTGTAACCAAATCCAAAAAACTCCCACACTGGTAAGGTAGCTGTTTTCAGCTTTCACATTACATACAGTCATTTAATCCATTATGAATATGGAAATACTGCACAATACAGCTTTAAATACCAAAAGAAAATCAAGGACCTTCAGCACATTGATGCAAAAATTTTAAGATTTTAAAAGGGATGGATACTGTGCCTCAGTGTAAACAGTATGTTGCTTTATACCATCGTATCAGTCTGTAGACTGCCAGCTGATTTTTGTATATTTAGCAATGCCACCCTGACTGCAGTGGTAACGCCAACCTGAAAGCATTTTTACTGGGACTCATGAGAGGGTGCAGTGAAGAAGTTCTGACTAGAGTGTTGCACACAGTGAGATAATCAAAGCCCTGTGCAGAACTTGTTTTTGACTGTAACTTCATGAGAACATTGAGAACATGCCCAAATCCAATTATACAGAAAATGACAACTCCTCACTCCTCCAATTCCTCACAACCCCCACAACTGCAACAGTCTAGTTAAAATCTGTACCCTGTTAGTATCTGCTGCCTGAGTCTGTGGTTACACTTTCATGATGCAAATGTGAGTTGCAGAGGTCTATTAACAAACTGGCTTTTTCAATCAATCAATCAATTTTATTTATAAAGCCCAATATCACAAATCGCAATTTGCCTCACAGGGCTTTACAGCATACAATATCCCTCTGTCCTTTGGACCCTCACAGCAGATAAGGAAAAACTCCCCCCCAAAAAACCCTTTAACGGGTTTTTTTGTGACCATGTACTAACCTGCGTTGGTGGTGTGTGAGATGTGTGTGTGCTGGTCGCTCCACATCAGAGTCCATGTCATTGTCATCATCGTCCTCTGAATCTTCATCGTTGTCATCTGAGTGCAGATCCTGCATGACTGACTGCAGTGGGCCCAGCACTGTGTGTGAGTGACAGAGAACACCACAATGTTGGAACTGAGGTCTGTTTTTATTCTTTCAAATTAAGCACAAGTAAAACCATGCACAGGGCAGTGGATCATGCTGTGAGGTGGTGGGATGGTCCCGTGGAGCTTGTGGCTGCAGAGCTGCTGCTGGTTTGATCCTTAATTTACACTTCATTTTCAAAAGGATCAGGCTGTCGTATTCTTATTTTTCTTATGTCAACAAGTCCAACATCCAACAATGTATCAGTCCGTCTCTGACTCTCCTACCCTGTCTGTGTTTTTCAGCCAAAAGCCTGTTGGACCCTACTGAAGGTGTAAATCTTTAAAACAGTTTTCAATTTCATAAAACAGTTAATCATTTACTAAAACAGTCGGTCACTGTAGTTTCTTTAAGCAAATGTTGCTCAAACAGGAGGAAAATAGTTATGGACTTTTCATTTTCATTTCATTTTAATCCACATTTGGTGTTCTGGTGAGTTTTTGTGGCAGCAGGATGGTGTGCGTAGGACTGAGTCCAAAAAAACTACAGTGTGTGTGTGTTCATGATAATGAAGAAGCATGTCACCCAGTGCAGCAGTGTGCCTCACTGATGTGTGTTTAATAGTTTAACAGGGGAGGCAGTCACCTAAAAGATAAACAGTTTGTTCCCATACTGAGACATCACAGAGTGTAAGAGGACACACTGTGTGTGTACATGTTGCTGCATCAGCAGTGATGGGTGTCTGGTGGGTGGTATCAGTGATATAATACCAGACCCTTCTAACATGACTGCAGAGAAATGCATGAGTTTTCATGCATATAAACAAGCTGGAACAATATTCTCCATGCAGATGTGAAAAGGGTGTTTGGGGCCTCACAGGAACTGTTACCTGTGTGGGTGGTGGCAGGAATAGCCACCCTTTTCCTGATGATGAAGTCCACCACTGCATCCAGAGAAAATTACAAACACAAGCAGAGGTCACCCTCGAGAAAAGAAGCCCTCAAAAATACAAAAAAATGCCCCATATACATTCTGGACTCACCTGACGCTGACATGACTATTTTCAGGCCTAAATGACTTCTACAGCATTTAAAACTTTTTTTCTTCAATTGTTTTGGAAATCATTTGTATCAGCTATGATGACAGTCATTATATTTTCACTGCTCAGATGTATAGGTTGCAGCGGCTACAGATTCCAAAGTGGAACCAAGATACACAGTCGAAATATATGGCAAGTTTAACCTACTGGTCTAAACCATTTATTTAAGTTAAAAAAAGTCAAAGCTGAACAAGGATGATGAATTGATGAAAGAATTTTCAATGCCCTTTGTGTTGTGCACAAAGTGCTTCATTCTGCACGGGCTTCATACTCTCAAAACAGCCTAATTAAGTCCGAAGTTCATCTCCTACGTAAGAGCTATTTCCTACGTAGAAGATAACATCCCATACTTAGGAGATAATATCTCGTAAATGAGAGATTAACTTGTGGGCCAACATTGCCCACAATAAAATATATAAATGAATTAATTAACCTTGCCCCTCAGGGCTACTTGACAAAAAATACTGAATAAAAAGAATTAAATAATAATAATAATAATAATAATTAAAGAAAATATTGAAAAAACTCCAAAACTGCATCATTTTGTTTCCCAACAGTGGCTCTAATTCTCCATCTTCAGATTTCAGAAATAAAAATGTAAGAAAAAATGTTATTAGAACAAACTGTCTCCTTTCCTCTGAAAAGAATGCAGGCTTTTGCTCAGACCTAATCATTTTGCTCTTTACAAAACCTGGAGAACAGCCCCTCAGTTGAATTTAAGTTAAATAAAGACACTTCTGAACTTAAAAATCAATTTATGTTCCAGGATGAATAAAGTGAGCAGGTGTTCCATTCTCTTTTTTCTATATTAAAAAAAAAGTTTCTTTGGTCTCAGAGCAAACAAGTTTGATTATAAAGCTCTGTTATGTTCAGACAGAAAGGAAATCAATGCCAGCTCAGTTTAAATTCTGTCTCCACCACTGGCTCAGTTTCTTTTATTGTTTGCCAAACCAACTGGACTCAGTGTTACACTGAAACTACCTGGTGCTCCATATGAGCTACATTGGAATATTACACAGATCATTTCTGACTGAAAAAGACTATAAACACTATGGAGGTTCAAACTAATTACCTTGTCGCTTGTGGTGTGTGGGAGCAAAGCCTGAACTGGAGCTGGAACTGGCTGGACTGGGCTGTTCGGACTGGAGGTAGGAAGAGAAAAAAAACTGATAAATAAAATACACATGAAGCTAACTGATGTTTGATTAATACACCTTCTGGCAAACAGATGGAGAAGTATAGTACAGACCAACAGAATATATAATTACTCTGTGACCTGTTTAAAGCTCAAATGAAGTCTGTAAATAAACATATGGAAGAATTTAATTTCAAAGTGGAGTAGACTGAAGATTATTTCCAATTCACTGCAACTATGAGGCATTTGGAAAAGCTTTACATTTGATCATTTTACCATCTAGAGGCTCTTATTTTGAAAATCCAGGCTTGAGCAGGGCCCCGCTGCAGTGAACTCCTATTACCATTTGAAACTTTTAAAATCAATTCATGTCCAGGGCCCCCAGTAAACCCATGATACCATCTAAAGGCTTTTATGAAAGTCCAGCTTCATCCAGAGTCCCCCAGTAATCTCCTGTTACCATCTGGGACCTTTATTCTGAAAATCCAGCCAACATAAGAGCCACCAATGTGAGCTCCTGCTACCATTTGGGACTTTCACTTTTAAAATCAAGCCATGTCCAGGGCCCCTGGTTATCTCCTGATACCCTCTAAAGCCTTTTATTATGAAAGTCCAGCTTCGCCCACAGCACCTGGTAATCTCTTGATACCATCTGGAAGGCTTTTATTGTGAAAGTCCCGCTTCGTCCAGGGTCCCCTGGTAAACTTCTGTTACCATCTGGGGACTTCTATTTTGAAAATCGAGACTTGTCCAGGGCCCCCCAGGAATGTCCTATTACCATCTGGAAGCTTTTATTTTGAAAATCCAGCCAACATCATGGCCACCACTGTTACCTGGGTGGTGCATTACGCAAACAAGCTAAGAGCTGACAGACATTGCTGGAAAAGCTGGAGGCTATACTGAAACACTGTCATAGCTGAAAGTTGAGATGAACTGTCTGAAAGGGCTGAAAGAAGAAATGCTTCGTCACTGCCATTATAAGAAATGATGAATAAAAGCACAATATTTTAAAAGGTCTAAAATGTAGGGGTAAAAAGCATAACTATAGCAGAACACAGACAGAGAGATAAAGACACTAACAGAGAGACAAGCATAGGAGGGAGAAGGTGAGACAGACAGATGCACCAATTAGAATATAAAGCATAAAACACAAACTGCAGTAATATAGAAACTGTTTTTTTTTAAATCACATTATAAATACACCAGTATTTTTGTGAACAATATGATATGGCACTGTTTGAATCTCCTGGAATGAGCTGCTTGTTTAATAGGAAAAAGCTCCTTTCAGATATTCAGAGTCCCCCTCATACAGTTTTTGAAACGTTTAGACACCGGCAATCCGTCAGCCGTGTGTGCTCTCTGCGGTGATCCCAGGTGTGCACAGGTGTGAGAACAGGCAGAGCTCCAAGTGCTCTGCTGATTCTTTTCTTTCACCACAATCCTGACATTTGTACTTCTTCCACTGTTAGTTCACGGCTGAGTCACACCAACTGCCTGCTGGCTGTGCTGGGAGACTTTTAGACAAGAGATGGGAGAATCCCAGCACAACAGGGATTAACTTCTCAACAACAGCCAAGAAAATATCTTTGCCAATATGGGTCAAAATATTTTAGATATTTCTGAGCAGTCTTCCTTGTGTGAATGTTCCAACAAACCATATGGACACGCAAACATCAGAGGACATCATGTCTCCTACTGTGATACTTTCTGGACACCTGACTTTAGCTTCATGAGTAACTTTAACACACTGTGGCAAAACACAGCAAAGTACAGTGGCAAGTTTTCTAACCATTCATTTAACCCACTGTACCTTTGATAAATTTAAATATTACCAACTCCTGACAGTTTTCTGACAACAGAGACAAAGTGTGTCTTAGTGTTGTCACAATACTACAATTTCTAACTACTTTACAATACCTTGAAAATATAGATATTTGATGCTTTTTCTGATACCACAGGAAAAAAGTAACACGGAGGGCATACATTTTTATTTGAAGATTAACAAAACAAGGCTACGACATGATGATGATTCTTTACATCAGTAGTAGCAGAGAACAGCTGAATGACTGCAGTAAATATTAACAATAAGAGAGAGTGCAGCTGGTACCAGTGTATTGATTCTGTGGAAAATGATTATTGAAACTGTTTCGAATGTTCAGAATCAATATGTATCAAAAAATCAATTAGACTTTCTGGTGTATTTACCAAATTAAATATAAGACTTTTGAACAGGGTTGGGTGCTGAAACCCAGTGCCAATATGGCACAGGTTCCTATAAAACTGGTACCTATCAGACTGAATCACAATACAGAATTCAGTGTCTCATTTTGGTGCCAGATTCTGTGGGTTAGGATTGTGTGGCTGAGGGGAGAGAGTGGGTGTGTCATGGTGACACATGACAGTGAGGCTGCAGCGACCGGAGCAGAGAGTATGAAGTTAAACATAGCGGTGCAGTGTGTGAACAGTTTCAACTGTTTGTCAGTGAATAAATGCTAACACTCTTCAATACCCAAGACAGGTTTCTGTGTCCTACTAGCTCCCGCTGATTCAAGTGAAGCTGGGTTAGCTCTAAAGTTGGTGAGCGAAGTCTGCCTCCCATTGGAACTTTACCATGCTCACTTAAGGTGGACTGTTAAGGTGGACCAGCTGTTGTCATTGTCGTGAACATCTCAGCTGCTCCACAACGGTTAATGGAGAAATGTCTGCCTGCTGAGTCTTTCCTGAGTTTGTGAGACAATTATTGATCCCAACTCAAATTTAATTTTGCTGTTATTAGTACTGTAACAGTTTTTTTACGGTTGAATTAAGCACAGAGAGATGTCAAATGCTGTAAAGCCGTCTGAGGCAAGTCGTGATATGTGATATTGGGCGTTATAAATAAAACCAAACTGGATTAAATGATTGCAGCTGGGTTTATTATGTGAAATGGTTAGTAGTGTTTTGTATTTATTCACATTTATATATCTAAGTAAAAATCAAACTGTTAAGTCAATATATTGTTCAATTTACACTCAAATTTGCCTTTGCAATAAAACAAAGCTGTTTATTTATGTCACTGACTATCGTTTTGGGGTTTATTTATTTATTTTTTAAAAAATAACGTTTCAGGCAACGTTTAAACAACGTTACCATTTTAATTAAGAATGCACGATACTGGATTTTTTGCTGATATCCAATATGCTGATATTTTATGACTTATTTGGCCATAACCAATAACCGATACTGATATTGATATATCCACTTTTTTCCCTGCCTAATTTTATGGCTCATCAAGTTTCTTCTGCAGTGGAATTAACATCATATTATGCATGCATACTCTTATCATGATGGCCCACCAGCAGACTGAGACATCTGACATATTCATTAATTGTGCAAAACAAGAAAAAGCATGCTGGCCGATCCCGACACGTCATTTTAAAGCTAATGTTGGCCGATACGTGCCAATATTATCGTGCATCCCTAATACTATTAGTATTGTTTAGGTACCAGTATCAGAAAAAAAACACAAATAATATCCAACTCTGCTTTTAAATACTACATAGAATTATCTGATGTATAAAAAAATATATAAATATATAAAAAAAATGTTAGACTAATGTTAGTGTCTATGACAGGCAACAAAAAAATATTAAAAATTACAAATAAACCACAGAAATCAGCCGAGGACATAATACTGATATAGAATGTGTGTTCAAACAGTGAGAAGCAACCAGAAACACAGTAAGCATGTGACATTCTTCATCCCTTAAAGGAAATGGTGTGTTAAAAGGAAAAGCTGAGAAACAAAAGATTTACTCCTTTGAACAATGATCTTGCACACACTGCAGCAATCACAGCTGCAGGTAACATAGGTGACAGTGTAGTAATATTTTCATTCATTTTTTATTCTCTTCCCGCATATCGAAAACATTCTCTTTCAATCCACGATATATGTGTGGATGTTCAAAAACTCACTCACTGTAGCTCAGGAGATACAATGAGGTGCTATCTGTCCTCTGCTGACCAGCTCTGATCACACTGATACAGAGTCATCTGTTGCTCTCTGTCCTCTTTAAACTACGATGGTGTCAGTGCTCAGGAGAACAAAGAGCTGACACCAGCAGACTGGTGTGCAGATGAAATGGAAACACTGAGATAGTCAGGTGGGATTTTCTGCCCCTGATTTGTTGACAGCTCTGAACACCCCTGAAACTGAATGCAATTCTCTGCCCTTTCCCGCTTAAAGCCTTCAGGTTCAGGATAACAAAGGTGTCAACACACTGTGCCATGGATATGTAGCACATGGAGGTCAATTAATGAACTCATCAAGAGCAGCATTCTCTTTTTGCCTGTGTTTCTTTACGGTGTGTATGCAAGTTTTCTGATGTTGCAGTGGGGTAAGCTTTCATAGCCATCCATAGCCTGGTTCCAGACCATAGCCCCCGCCCACTCAACTGAGTAGGCTTGCATCTCTGGACTGGCATACTGCAATGAATTTGCGATTTATCTTGTCCAAAAGATGGAAGGACCAATGAACGCCGGGGGTGGGGGTGGGTCTAGCTTTTAGCCAATCAGCATCACGCTGATGTCAAGCTGTACGCTGGTGGGTAACTGGTGAGGATAGCAACAATGACGACCGCTACAGATCCTACAGACCACATTAACGATGCTATCGAGGTATTTCGCCACTATTCGTTTTAATGGAGGACTAAATTAATGAAGCTGCTAAACTGGATTTAACGGCGATGCAGCTGGGCGTGCACGACGACGGAGGCATTTTAAACGGGCAATGCTCGCTTGTTTTCGGCACCCCCGAGGCATGGATACTAATGACGTCAGATTCTGGGTGAGTCGTTGAGCTCTACTGATTAGTAAGGGAAAATTCAAATTCCCTCCCCCTTGTAAATCGCCTTCAATGGAGGCGATGTCAGACTGAAGGTTCTGGGAGCTTCAGTCTGTCACTCAGGCTAAGCCATCCATGCCTCAGCCATCAATCAAGCTAATCAAATAACTGATAAATCAGACTGA